CAATCAAAACACTAACTAAAAACTTATAAAAACAAACACTAAAAAACTAGGTTTTAAAAGGCAATTCATTAAGTAATATTATCGATTTAACTGCACTAATGCTATGGGATGAGAACAAATTTTTTAACTGAGCTGAGCTGAATAATGACACTGTGTTCTGTAGAGCTGCTTTATAGTTGACAGTGAATTTGTTTCTTATTGAGTTTTGAAACATTAACACTGATATTTTCCTTTTCAGTAATGTGAAGCTGCTTTGAAACAATCTGTATTGTACTGTATAAATAACTTGACTTGAAATGTGACTTAAATATAAAATGTGACAAAATAAAACTAACTAAAACTTACTAAAACCATACACACTTAATAGGGTTTAAAAGACAATTCATATTTAGTAGTATCTATTTAACTGCACTGACATGATCGGATGAGAACAAAATTTAAACTGAACTGAGCTGAATAATGTCACTAACTTTGCAACATCTACACTGTTACTGAACTGAATTCAATCAAAATTGAACTGAACTGAATTGAAACAACTATCTGAAGCAATCCGTATTGTGCTGTATAAATACAAGTGACTTTAAATATTAAAAAGTCAACATCAGAGAACTATGAGCATGCAAATGTGTTGTTAAATTAAATTATTGAAATATTAACATCAAATCTCAGGTGGGACTTAAAGTAAATATTTGGTAACACTTTATTTTAAGGTCCATTTCTTACTATTGACTATTAGCATGCATATTGGCATATTGGCTGTTTATTAGTACTTATTAGGCACATATTAGGGCTGGGCGATATAGCAAAAAAATGTATGAATGATATAATGTTTCATATCATTCGTATCGATAATTATTGACATTTTTTATAACATATTTTAAAACAAAGAGCAATATAATTTTTTTTTTTAATTTAACCACTGTATTTTTTAATTAACCCAATTTATTGAGACAAACAACAAATATTTTTTGTTTTAACAGTCAAACACAAAATAAAAATTAAATATCTAATTTCTAATGTTTTATATGCAGATTAAATAGGTCTTAAGGAAACTTTTGGCTTGTCTCCCGAGGCCACAGGAGGGCGCAATGAGCAAAATAATGCAGCGCATTTAAATTGTCAACGCAAGGAAGTAACTCTATAAAAAACGTGCATTACGTCTAAATTAACTCATAAAAAATCAAATACAATTTCGTAATTTGCATAAACAATTATGAACAAAACGGCATCATGTATTTATGCATTGCTTAATACAAAGAGCCGAAGCGCCGATCACACAGACTGCATTTAAAAACATATGAGACGCAGTGAAAAGGAATAAACCTCCACAAATTCGTGACGTGTTTTCTAAACGTTTTAACATTGCATGGCTTTCTATACATCTCTTGTGTGAGACGCGAGTGCAGCAGTCACATTTGTCCGTCTAAAAAAATGCGCCGAATATGCATTCTGTGTGAATGGCTTGGTTTCGGTTT